CGGACTCAGCACAGCCGGAAAAACACAGGGCATGAACCAGTCCAAATTTCGTTTTACGCCATCGCGTCTGCAGCGTAGCTTGTTGTGGAGACCGCATAAAACGCCCCGAACACAGCAAGAGGTGAACATGAAATCTAACGCCGACCAGCCCTTCCTCACTAGACGGGGCTGCCAATTGCAGTTCGGGTCTTCCTGGTTGGAGACACACGTGGCTAGCTCCAGCAGCCAGTATAACACAAATGAAGCTTGCCGCCACAGCGCAAACGACACTCGAAGTCTAAAGGCTACACGACTTCGATCCACCCAGAAGCGAGGAGACCATACGGGTCTGCCTGCAGAAATTGGAGTACCAAAGTGGTGTGAAATAAATGCAGCTGCTGAGAAGACGCAGAATTCACACATACACCGCTTACAATCGTCAATTGCATTGATAGCTTCATGATCACTACAATTAAATTCTGCCTACCGTTCCTTCTCGGCGTTTATCGATCGCGGTGATAGTTTCCAGACCAACAATAGCAATGGAAAAAGCTAGAAACTGTCCAACGCAACGTCAGTGCACACCCAGAACCAGGAATGAACGCCCAAGGCCGGTGCGAAAACACCAACCACACCGGCAATCGATCCAGTGATCGAAGCAAAACAAGCATTCTGATGTGCGTGACCAACCATCGTCCACTGCGAGGGGCAACATATCAGCAGGGTCTGACTGCAGGTGGGGAAGTGAGAAAATAAATATAGCCCCTCTTCCCGGTAGAAATGTAGACAAATTTGACGAAGACTACAGAGTACTGCTTCTTACCGTGTTGAAGAGACGGAGCTCTTGGGGAAAGGGGACGTAGTAGGAGAGTTTGATAAACCGATTGGCGTTCTCGGAGAACTTGAAACGTTTCAGGTGAAGGGCCAGAAGGACGGGCAAGCGTTTAACCCGCATACTGAAGGTGAGAAAAGTGCGAGAAGAGGAGAGTCCAAAATTATAAAAGCCAGAATTTAAGATGGAAAAAAGAAGCAAAGAGACTCGAATGTTGCGATGACAATTCTACTCGTTCGATCTTACTGGTTCAATTTTAACTCGGTCAATAAAAAGATTAATACAGATGAGAGGGGGAGGAATCACACCAATAAAGGACACTGACGATGACATCACGACCATCCGCGTCTGGCATACTGAAAAGCAAACAAGTTTCGCAAAGAGCACGAACATATGTGATGAATGAGGGGGAGGAAATTGGTCACCTCCAGTAGGTGTGATTGCGTAGCAATCACATCCTATAAATACTAGTCTTCGTGTGCCTCTATCCTTTTGTGTTACTGTCTCTGACGCCGAGTTGGAGTGCCAGTTTAAAACAACAGACGAATAAAATTCTTGTTCCGTTACTCCCCTAAATCTGCTTTCGTATTATAGACTTTTAAAAATATTCATCAGCCTGAGTCCTGACAACTCCCTTCAACGCGCTTTGCCAATCAGGGTGTTGTGGCGAGGGGAAGAGATGCATGGAAAGACGATACTGTCATGAGGGAAACAGCGCAATGGGAGGAGCGACGAGAGGAATTCTCATTTGAAAGATGAAGGTCCCTTGGACTTCTGTTTTGATTTGGAGAAATCAACCTCGACAAAATTCACACCGTCAGGCCATTCGGACTAGATAACCCCAATAAAATAGCGGTCTGGTCAAACATACGCACGTACTGCCAATCATTATTCAAGTGCCACAGAAAACTATGTTCGGAGAAACGGAAGGCAAATGACAGCGGCAATGGTGAAAAGCACAATATGCATTTAGCAATAGCGTCTCACTCCACACGACCAGGCCC